GAAGTTGCCAGCACAGGATCTAAAGCCTACTTAAACATCACTGAGACCAAGTCCCAGCTCCCACTTGACCCTAAAGGCTCTTCGCGGTCCGGTGCTCACTGATCTCTCTCCTTTCATCCCACATCCCGGTCCCTTCTCCCGGTCTGCAGCCCTCTGGAGCTCCTCACCTTTCCCCATCAGGGAACTATTTCCTGAATGCCCCACAAATGAGGTCATCCCCTTTTCTCAGTATGAGGTGCATGCTTATTTCAAGAGCAGGGGGGCTGTCTTCTATAGCTCTCCCTCGCTCCCAGCAACATGGCCATCCAGTCTAATATTTATTTTTTGCTTGTTTTTGTATTTTAGGGAAGGGTCTACAGGATGTTCAGGATCTCACTACTAGATCAGACTCGTAGTGATCCACCTGTTCACAGCCTCCTAAGAGCTAGGATTACAGGTGCGCACCACCACACCCAGTCTCAAATGCCACCTCAGTGCAGGTGGGGAGGATTGAACCCCAGCCCCTGCGCCTGCTTGCAGGCACTTTAATCCACTGAGCTATTTGGGCAGCCCTCTGATAAATATTTTTGACCAAGAAAAATGGCTCTGTGATGAATGTGATCACTATGTAAATCTAAAATGTACCAATAAAATTTGATAGAGAAAAATTGATGTGACTCTTCTCGTCTTTATTCTGTCCTCCCAAAGCCACAGTCTCTCACAGAAGCAGCCCTTAAGTGCCAGATGTGTACCTGTATTGTGTCACGCAATCCTATGGCACAGGCATTTACAGGTCCCTTCCACAGATGAAGAAATGGAGGCTCACAGAGCGTCAGCAACACGCACAGCTGGGAAGGGCTCAGGCGGGGTTGGATTCCAGCCCCACTGAACACGTCTTGCTCTGCCTATGTGTGTGGCACCCAGAGCAGGGGCAGCATGGTGGGGAATGAAAGGCCACCCATGGACTTTCTGGGAATTCTCATGCCATCAGAGATCTGTTACATCCATGCTGAGGAAGGTGAGGTGCCTGAAAGATGAGAAATGTGGCAGCCCCATCTGATGGCAGGCACCTGCTGGGAGCCTGGGGTCCTCCGGCCTCAAGCCAGGGAGGCACCTAATCAGACAGGTCAGCTAGCAAGTGATGAAGGTTTTCACGCTAAGTACCCAAGGCTGGCAGAGAAGATGCCCCTGACTCTTCTCATTCTGCTCAGCTTTTCCAGTGGCCTGGGAAAGCCCCAGTCCATCACCCTCAGGAACTCTTCCCAGCCTGGGGCTTTCCCTGGCCACTTTACAAGCTTTGTTAAGCAACAGACCTAGACCCACTTGCACACTATCTCCTCCTTCCAACATCCTGGAGGTGTTTTTCTATTCTTTACCCATAAACCAATTGGGGTGTAGAATGTTGCTGAGAGTTCAAAGTCAGACAGCTGCTGTATGCAAGCTAACCACTATGCTACACTGCCTCTCCCCACTTCCTGAGACTCCAAAAGAATACACCCCATCTCTCACCCACCCCATCATGCCACCATGGTCCCAGGACTTAGTAAATTAGTTCTGTAATTCTTACTAGGGAGCTGAGCCCATATGTAACAAGAGAGTAGCTACAAAAAACATTACTGCCCTTTGCTCCAACTATTTATTCTGGATGAGAAAAACACTCCAGGGAGAAGAGGAAACTCAGCATAACTAAAAAGACAAAAAAAAAAAAAAAAAGTTGCTTTCACAGAGTTGCCCATAGAAATTAATTGCAAAAACACCTGGAAACAATCTAACTTCAAAATCAAACGACAAGGGCATCCTGGGGTGGGTTTGATAGCATGGTGAATACCAGGTGGACCTCAAACGTGACTTACAGTCAGCTTTGGCTTATGTAAATTTAAAACAAAAGTATAAAAGCAAAACACTTCATTTTATTTTGATCTCAAAAATACTGTATGAGCAAGGAAGGCTTACCTGTGCTATTTTCCCTTCCTTTTATTATTTTTTTAAACAGGGTCTCACTATGTACCCCAGGCTGGCTTCAAACTCACAGCTCTGAATCAGCCTACCTCAGCCTCCTGAGTGCTAGAATCAGAGGCATGTACCACCACACCCAGTTCCCCCTTTCTTTAAAGAATTTAATGATCATTTTTAAAACTTGTTTTTGGTGGTAATAGAGTACTGGGGATTGAACCCAGAGACCTTCACAGAGTTAAAACTCCAGCTGTTATTCATTCATCTATTTTGTTTGAGACAAGGTCTTATACTAAGTTGTGCAGGGTGAGCAAAGGCTGTAAAAACAGAAGTTAGAAAGTGAAACCAAGAGCAGATAATTCACACCATTCCTGAGACATACTTCTGAGCTTTCTGGCTGTGTCTGTTCTCTGTCAAGTCTAACTCAAGCCCCCTCTTTCTGTGACAGCTCCACTGGTGAAGGGAAGCTAGTCGGCTGGCCTGAGGGAAAGTTCTATGTGAGAGAAAACCCCATGCTCACCTGTTCACAGGCCGGGATGCAGTCTCCTAAGGCTTGCTGGTGGGCTTAAAGAGGCTTTGGGGCTGAAGCACAAGCCCAGGACTGCGGCCAGTAGGTGCCAGGCAAGAGAGGCTGTGGCTGCCCCAGCCCACGATGCAGGCTTCCTATCTGAGGACAGCTGGAGTGCAAGCCACCACAGCTCGGACCAGACTTGAACTAGAGCCAGCAAGGGCGGGGCGAGGCCACGTGGCCCCAGCCTCCTCAGAGTAGAAAGGATCAAACCCGAGAGCAGCCAGCAGACAGATCCAATGCAGCTGGGCGTGGTAGGGGTCCCTGCAAAACAAGCCCTGGCTTCCAGGCGGGCTGTAAGTGCTGCTCTGAAGCCCTGCCTGGCCCATCCCCAGGAGATAGGCCCCTGACAAAAGCCCTTATCACAGAGCTGTAGATGGCTGATGCAATGATGGGGAGTGCATACAGGACTACTAGGTGAACAAGGCCTTTTCCTACTATCTCCCATCACAGCTGAGGACAGAGAAATAACCCTACCATTCTACAGGCTTGTGATATATCTTATCAAGATACCACAATTGGTTACTGAGGTCTAACCCCAAGCCTCAGACAGCCCTGTGGGAACTCCTAGGTGCCCCAAGACACACACACCTTACAGGGTTACAGTAACTGGGTTCTGCAGCACCCACAAGCATGGCACCATGTTTTAGGGTGGTTGGTTTTTTTTTTTGGTGGAACCAGGGATTGAACTCAGGCCCTTGCACTTGCCAGGCAAGCACTTATTCTACTGAACCATCTCCCTAGCCCTAAAATCTTTTTATAAATCACTCTTATTTGGAGCAGGGTCTTGCTAAGCAATTTGGACTCAGTTGATCCTCCTGTCTCAGCCTCCCTAGTGTTGGGCTTACTGGCGTGCACTGTGTTCCAACTACTCAAGTACTTCTCTGAATATGAGCCCAGAACCCTCCATCCAGGGTCCACATTACCTTGTGCAGGAATGCTGGTCTGCACCTGGACATTCTAAATGTCAATGTTAAGTTGGTTTTCACTTCTTGGTAAGAAATGCTCTTAGATGGACAAAACAGATTCTTTGAACTTACAACAGGAGTCCGCCCCCACTGGAATGTGCCCAGCAGGGGCCTTTGGACCACATCCTCCGGGCAGCCCGAGCTCTGCAAAGGCCAACTCAAGCAGCTTGTGGGAGGGCGCGGGGGGGGGGGGGGGGAAGAAGAGCTGCGGACCAGCCCGGAACTTCGCGGAAGCTGGGTCAAACACCACCGCGGCTCCTATGCCTCCTGGCTTGGGATGCCTTTCAAAGCACCCCACAGGGCAGTGGCTCTGGACAGAGGTGGCTTAGTATCCCAGGACCATGCCCCTTTGGAGCCTCCCACCCTGGCACTCAGCGATCTCCCATTATCATGCCCCAGATCATCCTTACTTTCTGTATTTTACACAGGAAACTCAATTCAAACAGAGGTGGACATCCACTGCTTGACAGAGGGAGTGTGGCTTTTGCCTAAGCACCTTCCTTCAGTTATAGCATCAACAAGTGTCCTTGGCACCCTAACAGCTACGGATGCTGGTAACTCACGGTATTATCAAAACTTTTCTCAAGACTGTTAAACATACTAGCTCACATATACACACACCCCAAAACGGCTTGAGAGAATCCCCAGACCTCATCAAAAGCAACTCTTATTCATGTTTGTAGTCAGAGTAAAGGGTGTTATGCTGGGTGGATCTGGACTGAAGTGTGAGGACCAGGCTCTGGCAGGTACGCAGAGGCTAGGCACTGAGACTCAAGGCATGGATGAAGCAGCTAGATGTGGGTGGGCTAGGGTATGGTGGTACTAAAGACTGCCTTCCAGCTACTTGCAGCTGGGCTCTCCCAAACCTTCCCAAAACCAGAAATTTCCAAACTTGGTTTTCTTTGAAAACACGTGATTGTTTCACTTTTAACAGCAGTGTTCCCTCCCCCTCCAATACAACTTGTGATTTTCATGTCTGATCACTGAGTCACTGAAAAATCCTCAGAAGTCTGCATCATGAAATTGTTCTGCAGTTTTGAGGCCAGGCTAGCCTCGAGCTACACAGCCCAGGAATAGCCTTGAATTCACTCTGCTCCTGCCTCAGCCTCCCGAGTGCTGGGAATGTTAAGTGTGCATCACACCTGGCACACTGAAACTTCTGAGCAGGGACCAGGTGTCTTGACAGTTCTCACCCAGCTGCAGAGAGAACCTCAGCTGTTTCCTACCAGTCCCTGACCTAACACCTCCCATACCCTTTATTTTAAAGACCCAGGATCTTCTGATTTTCTCTAAGTCTGGAGCCATGCCTGTTTGCTCTTGAGTTAATCAGATATGGCCCTTCAGCTCTCCTGAAACTTGTTGCTGTGTCCTCTGGCAGACACTGCTCCCTCACCTGCTCAGAGGGACAGTGACTGTCTGGTTAGTCTCTGACCTCTGAGAACAGATCTGAGAGACAAGAAGGTGTACTCCGTAAACATGCTCTTCCAGCACTGGCAAGACTCCCGGTGGATATTCCAAGCCTCTCAAGAAACAGCTCCTGCTTGCACTGGTTCAGACCAGTGATGGAGATGTTTCAGATGCTGTGTCATCCATACCTGATTTCAGTTCACTCAAATGTCATGAGTCCTCCATGCTGGACTCACAGGTCCCCACACATAAAGCACCCACAGCCAAAGTGTTTAGCGTGTTCCTACCAGAGAGCCATCTGTTCCTCCTACATTACTTTTGAACAAGTCTTGATTTCTGCAAGAGGTATTTCTTCTAAACTGTGGATATAGCCAACTCTTAGAAATTTTAAGGATACAATAAGTTTAAAATATGCACACAAAATATTTCATTACAAATGACGAGTGACTCATGCAAACACTTCCACTTCAAACAGAAAGCAGAATTTAGGGACTGAAAGGAACTCAAAAGCCAGACTGATCCCAACAGAAGATGCCTCAGCATTTCTGGCTGTGGTTATGAGCAGCAGCATCCTGGAGTCCAGCACTCTCCCTGTGAGACACCACGCGCTGAGCGCCTTTCCCAGCCCTAGCAGCTGTCCTGCCAGAATGCATCCACACAAACCAAGAAAAGCAACATTCCAGCCACAGTTCAACTTGAACCCCTTCCCCTCAAGGAATGCTGTTCTTGGCAAGAGATCTTCCAAAGGAAAGAACATCTGCAGAACCTCTGCTCCTGAGGTCAAGGCAAAGCTGAGACAGCTGAAAACTTTGAGGTCCTCTCTTAGATCCAAGTCACAGGGGCTGAACAGAGGAGCAGAGTGGGAGCAAAGCTGAGCGGCCTTGGGGCTGCAAGATCCTCCTCCTTTTCAGGTCCTGAGCAGCCTGGTAAGAATGTAGGGCTGGAGACAGGATTTACCTGGTCTTCCAATCTATCAGGTCCTCTCACCAACTACAGATAGGGCCTATAATCCAGGCCCATTCTTCATTAAAACACCTTTTGCAGGTCATGAGGCAGCTGCCACGAAAAAGATTATTCCACTCAGTCTACTCAAGCCTCATTTCTGGTGCTGGCAGCCTCAACCTCCCAAGTACTGGGATTATAGGTGTTGTGTTGCCACACTTTGGCTCCATAAACTTCCTGTCAAGACTGAGTCATGGGGCTGGGGAGATAGCTCAGTAGAATAAGTGCTCGCCTGGCAAGCACAAGGGTCTGAGTTCAATCCCCGGTTCTGAAAAAAAAAAAAAAAAAAAAAAGACTGAGTCATGTAGGCAGCTAGGGATAAGGAGCCACTGTTCAATCATTCCTGCTAAGCGCCTCAAACAGCACATCAGTATCAATTTGGCAGAACAGACTTAGGGTTATATGGGAAAATGAGTTCTGAAACTAGACTTCCCAAAAGGGATTCAGAAGTACTGTGTATCTATGCAAATCCATGAGCTAAGGAAGAGGAAGAAAAAAAAAAAAAAAAAAAAAAAAGAGAAAAAAGCATGTTATTTAGGAACTCAATTCCTGGCCAAACCTAGGTTTCTAATGACTACTCTAAAACCAAATCATGATTAAAGAGCTACTTAGTTTCAGTTAAGTAGAGAAACCTCTGTGCTGGACTTGAGCTGCTCAGAGGTTGTATCTTAATTACTTCTGTTTCTGATTTCCAGTGCTTGCTTCAGCAACACATATACTGTTCCTGATTCCCACGAAGTGCCAGCTGGAGAATCTGCCCATTTAGGTGGCTGAGCAGAGGCAGACAAAACAAACGTCTTACTCTGTGCCACACTGAGAACAGTGAGCTCAGATTTCTTCAGGGTCAATGCACTGAAAGACTGCTGAAAAGACTAGATTCCCACGCTAGGCAGGAGGAATTTCTAGGCGTGGGCTGAAACATTTCTGAAAGTGGTCACTTCCGGCCAACGGGTTCAGTACTCCCTTACACCCACTCCCAAGGCCCTCTGAAACTAGGCTAAGATGCATGCTGCATATACAAGCCCAACTTAAGTCACCCACTGCCTCTCAACAGGGCCTACATACACTCACTGCTCCCATGGGCAGGACAGTACCAGTGTCTGTATTTACTGACCTGTTCAAGTAGTCACAAGGCAAGGAGGCATGGAAGCAAAGGGAACATCATTAAATGACTGCTCTGCTGGGAATCATCCTAAACCAATCATTCCAACACCTCAGAGTGAAAGGGTGCTGAGTTGGAGGGAGAAATACGAGCCACCTCTCATAAATGTCTGCATGGTTACTGAGCTAAAGGTTTGTCTGCACAGCAAGTTACCAGGACAAGCCAAAGCCAACCACCACCATGGAGCCATAGGGTGCCAGAAGTCCAAATAGGTACCTAAAAGGAAGGAATAAAGTTCAGGTCTTCTTGCTCCAAATCAGGCTTATATCTGTAATCTGAATTCTCATATCCAAAAAAAGATACAACAGATACCAGCCACCTTGCAAACCAGGTTTGTATTTCTATGTAAGTTCCAGAGCAAAACTCAGGAACCTTACTGCATCCAGCCTGGTCTCACCTTAGCTTGTCTCCCTCCTGCAAAATTAACATTGTACAAAACTGTATTTACAGGAAAATCAGTTAAAAATTAAGGGCGTGTACAAAAGTAGACAAGAAATATCAATGCAGGACAGCTTCAGGAATAGGAATCATGCTCCATACTGGAGCCTGGGGTGGTGTCTCATGTATCAGGCAGGGAGAAGACAGTGAATCTCAGTGTCCATCCTGAGGAACCATTCATTCAGTCAGTCATTCCAAGGGAAGAGATAGGGGAAAGAGCTATCAGCACTGATACTGCAGTCTTAACTACCCAGTCATCTTTGTCTTGCCACAGGGCAGAAACCTGGTTGGGGTGGGGAGAGGGAATGCAACAAACAGTCTCTTGTGAGCCCCACAGAAATACAGGGCTCAGAAGGCATAGCGAGTCCGGATATCCTCAAGCTTCTTGGACACCTCAGGTGGAGTTCGGTCCAGTTCTTCAGAAACATTCTTTTGCTTGTTGGGCTCCATAGAGTTGAACTGTTCACAGAGGTCTCCATCAATCACATTCTAAGACACAGAGGAGTCAAAGGTTAAACAGCCAAAGAAGAGAGTACACACAAAAGCAGCAGGCAGCTATGGGTAGTTTTTACTCTCTCCAGGCTGCCAAACCCCATCCATAGAGTCAAGGACATATTCTAAACTGATACTGAGTAACCAGAGTTCAGAGTGCTAAAACCTTGGGCAGCTTTCTCTCTTTGATCTGCCCTATAGGGAGAGGTCCTGTAATATCACTAGCCATGTGATCACTGCCTGCATCAATCCACTGCCTTGCTACCCCTCCTCCACTCAAGACTCCTCTGACTTTTCCACTCAGATTCCCCTAACCTACCTTAACGGGAAAATAATAGGAGCGAAAGCTGAGGTGGTCCCGCCCACAGAGAGGGGGATGTTCAGACCGCAGGTGCATTTCTACATGCTGGAAGAAGTCATGGTCCTGGTGGAAGAAACAAAGAATACATCACTGACTTACTTATAAAAAGTGTTTCTAGGGGGCCAGGTAGATGGCTCAGTGGAATGAACATTTCCCTGGCAAGCACAAGGGCCTGAGTTCAATCCCCGGTTGGGGGGGAGGGGGGAGTGTTTCCAACCACACAAAAGAAGCAATTGAGAGAAAGGAAAAAAGTGGGAAAATCATGTATGTATATACACAGGATAGCAAAGATGACTATACTACTAATTTCTATTTTTTTTCTACAATGTTCAAAATCTATACTTTGTCCAATTTTACATGCTTATATCTGTAATCTGAGCAACTATACTGAAGATGACAATGTACAATAAAACAACCAATGCTGAATATCATCTTTTTTTGAAACTATCATTTCCAACTATGTCTTATCTATTACTTTTCTTTTCTTTTGGAACTGGGGATTGAACTCAGGCCCTTGCACTTGCCAGGGAAGAGCTTATTCCACTGAGCCATCTCCCCGGCCCCCTACTTTTCTATTTTTTTATGTATTTGGTACAGGTTCTCACTCTGCAGCTCAGACTCATAGTGATCCTCCTGTTTCAGCCTCCTCAGCACTGGGATTATAGGTGTGTGCCACCATGGCTGGTCTCTGCATGCCTGAGGTGGGGCTGGCAAGGCATGTGGTACCGGGGATCAAACCCAGGTCCTTGTGCTTGCCTAGGCAGGCGCTTAGACCTCTGAGTCATCTCTGCAGCCCCCATATTTTTCTATTTTCTTTAAAATTTAAAAAAAAAAAAAGGTTTCCAGCCCCACCCTAGGGGTGTGCTAAAATGGCAAAATTGAGATGGTGTGGTGGTACATGTCTGTAATTCCAGTGTTTGGGAAGCTGGGGGAAAAAAAAAAAAGTTTCCAGATAGATATGGTACTATAATCCCAGTACTAAGGAGAATGAGGCAGGAGGGTCACAGGTTTCATGGCAGCCTAGGTTATATTAAGTTCAAGATCAACATACATCATTTAGCAAGACCTTGTCTGCAACACGTAACCTACAAAGGCCAGGTAATTTCAAGGCCAGCCTGAACTACATGGCTGAGACTTTGTCTAAAAAAGCCAACCCTGTGCCTCCATCCAAACTACTGCAGTAAAAAATGAATGACTATTCTCTGGAGGGAAAAAAATCCCCACCTCCTTGGGACTTAAGTGGCCTTATAAAATTTCTAGAACACTCCTAATTATAAGGACAAACTGACTTGATCACACAGATGGATTCAGCACCAAGAAACCACCTTAGTGGGGCCAAGACCGGAGTGATGTGGAGGCTCTCACCTCGTGGGATGTGAATGGGACAAGGATGCCGATTCCTCCTGACAAGGTGGTATAGACGAGTGACTCTGAGCCTCCAGGGATCAGCGTGGTCTTCTGTAATGACAGCACTGTCTCCCCAACATGGTAGTTCATGATCACTTCTGCCTGCATGTGGAAGAACAGTGATGATCATGAATGCCCCCAGAAGCTCTTCTGGTGCCCAAGAGTAAGTGCTTCCAGATACATTTCACTGACTTTAAAACCCCAAAGTTACTGAACTGTAATATTATTTTATTTTTTATACTTGCAGCTTAATGTATAAGAAACCATCTGAAAAACTACAAACGCTATTACACTTGTTCTCTGAAACAAAACTATTTTTACAAAGTCCAGAGATACTCTCCTAAATAACCATCTGCCTCCAAACAGCAAAGCTGGGACCTGGGGGAACAGCTGGTTGGTGCTGGCAGAGAACCTACTGCCTTCTTTTCTGAAGTCAGTACTACTCTCTCCAAAGAAAATTTTTACACTGATTAACAGAATCTCTCAGAAAATGTTCTAAATAAGATAATGACACAGGCACCTTATGAAATCCAGTATTCATCAATTACAGGCCTTCTTACTATCAACCTAGAGATTTCCTAGAAGAGGGGAACGACCACTCGGCACAGTCATGTGCATTATGGATAATTCACCAAAAACCTCCTCCAGTGATATTGTTTAAGTCTTCCCCTTGTGTGCTTTCTGCACTCTTACCTTCTGTGAGGCCCCATTGAGCAAGCCCCGGTCCCACAGAGCTTTGTTTCCTGTGGGATCTTCATCCACCTCATCATTGGTGTTAGGTGGGAGCCTCACCTGCAAAGTGACACAAATTAGGGCCAGGGATATAGCTCAGCAGCATAAGTGCCTGCCTGGCAAGCACAAGGTCCCAAATTTGATAACCAGTACCACCCCCCCCCCAAAAAAAAAGTGACACAAATCAGCGATCTCCAATCCTGCTCACCTGGTCACCAAGCAATATTTGCCCCAGGTCTTTACAAACAAGCAGGGGCACTATCTACACAGATGCCCAGGGCTCCTATAACTGCTCTGGGGAGCTGTGAGCGGCAAGACACACAAGAAAATAAAGCCATAAGCACAGGTTCAGCACAGCCAAGAGCAAAAACAGACCAAAGAAGGTAAAACAGAAATCAGGCTAGATTTAAAAAGACAAGCCAAGGTTCTAACAAGAGGTAAAAACAAATATTAGCCATTTGCTCAAGTTAAATCCATCATTATGGAATTTTATACCCTTAATTCTAACATCCCATATTAGAGATCACCACCCTGCTACTTGGCTTTACCAACAGCACACATGGAGCCAGCTTTTGTATACCTAACCCCAAAGAGGGGCTGGGGAGATGGTTCAATGGAATAAGCACTTCCCTGGCAAGCACAAGGGCCTGAGTTCAATCCCCGGTTCCACACAAAAAAATAAATAAAAAAAGAAAAGAAAGAAAGAAACATCAACTCACCACACAAATGTTGCCAAACTTGTCTGCCCCAGCTACAGTGTCATAGTCGAGGAGACTGGCTGTAGTGACCCATCGGGGGTAGGTGTCGTCAGCAAAGATAATGAGCTGGTTCTCATTACGCTTGTAGCGAACCCAAATGAAACTTTCTTGGACATCAGACACAATTACCCTGTGCCCAATTGTCTGGATCCCGGATATATAATTGGCAATGTGCTGGGGAAAAATAAGGACAGCAATGGGTAGAATCCTGGAACTTAGAACCCACAGCTTTCTCTGACTACAACAAACAGGATCTGCAGAACAGCACATAGCCAAGAATGCCAGACAGCAATAAATTTGCTGGGTGTGGTGGTACACACCGGTAATCCCAGCATTCAGGAGGCTGAGCAAGAAGGATCACCTTGAGTGCAAGGCCTGCCTATACTACACTGTAAGGCCTTATCTCAAAAAATAAACATATGCCCAGAAGGTAGGAAAAAAGAGCTATTTTTAAATATAGTAGAAATATATGCTCAACTTTCAGTTACATTTTTTATAAAAGCAAGCAGACTATTTAAAGAGGCTAGGAAGGCCAGGGATATAGCTCAGCAGCCTATGTGCCTGCCTGACAAGCACAAGCTCCTCAGTCTGATCCCCAGTACTGAAAAAGAAAGAAATGTCATCTACTCTTGACCCTCGCAAGCAAGGCTCAAAGCCAAATTCTGTGGTTGGAATTGAGGGAATATAACACGGTCCTAACAAAATCATGACTTTTAAGAACTGGTGCCCACTACCTTGCTAATTCCCACTCCTACTTTATTACTTAAATCTCTGACCCACCACCAGCACATTTACCTTATTCTCACACTTTCGGAGTAATTTCTTCTTCCCCAGATCATAAACTCTCAAAAGCTTCCCCACTCCAATCAATACTCTCCCCTGGAATGGAGCAATGGCAGCAGGAACCTCTTCTACTGGAGTCTGTGAGAAGAGAAACAGGTCACATAACTACCTGCAAAACAGACACATGCTAATCCTCCTCTGACCCAGAAGCCCCTGCTTCTACAGGCACCTGTCACAAGACAGCAAGCAA